AAATTGTTGTATTTTTAAACGTGAATAACTTTTTAACTATTGAAGTTACAAAAATAATTTTTACATATTTATATATCATTTAATAAGCTTATTTTATTTTGTTAATTTCACCAAATTATATTAACATTGATCAATACCTTGACATGGTGTTTCAACAAATTTTTAGCAAACATTTACATTGAACAAATAAAATTCATCTATAATAATATCATATAATATATTCATTAATTGGAGTTGAATAAAATTCATAATTCTAGTATAATAATAAATGCGTTTGTTTGAGAGGGAAGGTTTAATTATTTTTGAATCTCACTGTCAACTATGATTTTTATTATTGTGTATTCACACGAAGAGACAACTCTGTTAGAGCACCGGTAGTTCGGCACAGGCAGGCTATCTGTACAGCAAAACCTTGAAGCCACAGAAAGGCAAATACCTGATCGTTGGAAAGAGTATACAAATTATCGAACCCTTCTATCGAGATTTCCCTAACAAATGCTTCAATAAGAGATAGGGAGCACCGGTATGTAAGATATTTCCAATAATTCTTCGAAATTCATAAAGTGATTAAACCAACAAAAACTGCTTAAAATGTGAATATGTTGATGTCTATTGATCGTCATTTTAGCCGTACTTTGTTTCTGACGACAAAACGAATAATGAGTTAAAACTTTTGTGTAAAAATGATAAGGAATTGGAGGAGACGTTCAACACTACGTAAAGAATATTCTTTAATATTTTTCTATCAAATTCTTGAGTGTATTATTAGTTTTGTATTTATTTCCTATTAATTACTCTCTCTTTGCTATCTTTTTATAATAAATTAAATATTTGTTTATTGGTGATAATAACGTACCGTTCCCATTCGTTGATGTTGATTTGACCTACAATACCTATAATGTTAAAGTTTTAACCAATCTATAACGGTTCCGACCATCATATCATTGCATGTGATATATCGTTGGAATCAGTTCAATGAGTAGATTAAGAAATTATCTTCTTGAGTTGAATTAAATAGAATTATCTTCTTTGACCATGGAGGAATATTAACTGATCCAGATTAAGAAGTGAATTTCTTAAACTACTCATTGAGCTGATTCCAACCATATATCACATGCAATGATTCGATGGTCGGAACCGTTAATATTTTAGTATGTTAGGTATTGTAGGTCAAATCAACGTAGGTCAAATCATAGACAACCGTTCCCATTGTATCATTTCTGTCCTCATTCATTTAAATTATAATTTTTAAGTTTTAAATATCAATTATAATTGTTAGTAATGCATACTAGTATATAAATGAATGGAAAACATTACATTTGTAATATAATATATGGATATTATTAATAATTCAGTTAAATTTTTTACAAATAAAATCATAAAATTATGTGATACCCAAGTTTAGAGACAATTATTTTTTGTATTGTCCTACAATTAGTTATAAATATGTAAACAATTAACATACTGTATAATTCATTTAATACAAACTCGTTATAAATTCTCATTTAATATATAATTTTCTTAACATTAATAGCATTTTCACACATAATCCTTTATTTCTAGCAATAATTGCAATTATATTCATTAAAATAGACCAGGGTTAAAGTACAAGTCCCTGAACACAGTCTTCATTTTCAACTCCGGACGTTCTGGAATATCAGCCTGGTTCAATTCCTCACAGGTCTAACGTTGTTTTAATATAATTTAAATTATTCAAATAAAATCAAATAAATTTATAAATACCTTGTTGAATATTTGTGTCAAATTGTAGTCGCACGCATAGTTGGCAATACAATGACTGAATACCTGTCCAAATAAAGTGTATCCATTTGCGTCAATAGCATGAATACCTTTAAAATTAAGTTTATTAAAATAAATACATTAAATTAAAATCATGTAATAATAATGTTAAGGAGTAGAAACACATACTGACAATAATCATAAATATGCCAGCACGTACCTGCTCGCTTGAAAACACGTTTAACTATAATAACTATAATTATAATTAAATTATAATGACTCATTATTTAAAATTAATTATATTAGACTATTATAAGTTAAGACACGAGGCTTGAGTCCTCAATATTGAATGCAATAATTATACTATACTTGTCGTGTAGACATGAGATCTCAAACATAGGGATTGAATTATTATAATATATTACTGAGATTTGACATCTCTAAACAAGGTTCTAATTACTATCTAAATGTGTCGTAAAGACCTGAAGTCTTAGATATAGGGTTGTTAGTGGACGGACTTGGTAGTGAATTAAATTTAGTTTTAAGGGTTAAACCGGCCTCTTAATAATAATTTAGTGGCAATAAGTGGTGTTTACCCTGAGCCCACGCATGGAATATATAGGTGCGAGTGGTGTCGTCCATCCACTCCCACTCAGCAGAGTGGCGTACATCTTGAATATCAACTGTTTTAAATCAATTATAAATGTTTGTCAAAAATTATAATTAATTTATTTTAAACAATGTAAATAGTTTTGCACATGTTTTAATACTCACTAGTCTGACAGCAACTAAATAAAAATATCTTGGGCTTCGTTATGTAGTACCTACAATTCCTCTCATCAAACTGATCCACGAGTGTCTTAATATGAATCTCATCCTGGCCATGACCACTACCCTGGATTATTCCATTGTGACCATGGCCGATGAACATCACTATTAAAGCATCCATTTTGAACTCCTGTTGGGAGGTCTTCTTTAGAGTGTCCAGAATCTGGTCGCACGAGTAGTTCACGTAAATATCGACCGAGAAGTATAACTGTTGGAAAATGTGGTCAAAACGATCTGCCTCCTTTTTGAGCTCATCCAGCTGTAGAAATACTAATGCCCGCCCCCGGGGGTTGCCACTCATAACGAACAATCGGGAGCCGCCCGATCGCAAGGTGTCGGCGTTTTTTACCTTTATTTCAACGTCGGACGAGTAGACTATAGGTGTAGTGGACTGGTTGTACTGTTCCAGCTCTTTGGCAGCGTGTTCCTGGTCACATTTGGTCAGTATGTCAACCAGCTCGTTGCACGCGTTACGATCTCGGTTAAATTCGGTAAATATGAATAGTTTTTTGGCGTTTTGGTCGCTTGATGCAATTTCCTATTTGTTAGCAGTATATTATAATTAATTATTTGTATTATATTTGAATTTTTAATTTTATTTGTAAATGTTTTTTTTAAAATTTTTAGTGCTTTAGTTATACATTATAACATTTAACATTATATACTGTAGGTACATTTGATATGGGACTAAACTTATTTATGCATAATTTGCTATTATTATATTATAATATTTATTTCTTTTATTAATTTTCAAGAGTAAGTGTTCCAGTATTCATACTTAAATTAAATATTGTATAATTATTTGTTATAGTAGCATGGCTCACTTACATTTAGTGGTTTTAGTAAATATGGAGCACATCAATGACTTTCCAGTAGTTTCATAAACATTGTATTCAGTGATACGAGTGGTAAGAATTTGTCGATGTTTTGCATAAAGTTTTTTCGCACTTCTGGCTTATCCATTGTTTGTATTGTATTGTATTACTGTAATATAACTTACTGTAGTATACAAATTATTAATTAATTAATTAAATTTAAAATTTTAAAATAAAACAAACATTAATTGTATTAATAATGAACACTTGAATATAAAGTATCGAAATACGTTATAATTTATAGTATGATTAGATATACACATAATAACTACTAAATCGTTGCAAAACACTGTGAGTTAACCTTAACATTATATATTGAATAGTACTCTATTAATATAGCCATATAATGTGTTGTTTCCGACACTCAAACTATTCACAGTACTGTGTGGTATTGTATTAGGGCTGGTATGTTGTGACTACATTTATGGCTTACGTGACAGTGTCAATTTTAAAACAAACAAAATTTAACTACTTTTGCATAAGGTTAGAGTTAAACTTGATATTTAAACTTATAATTATTGTATAACTAAAGTTATTTAAACAAATTTTTAAATAATTTTATTATGTAATGTTTTAGGAATTTAATTTATTAATAAAACTTATAATATTTCAAATTTAAAATAACTAGTAATAACTAGTTACCAATAAGTAAAATATATAACGTAAATATGAAAAGAGTCTCAAATTGATTTTAAGATATTATTGCTGATAATAGTACCCGTATTCAAATGTATAATAATTTATTATACAGACAAATATTTTGCGTTTCTGCCAATTGTATAAATTATACAAATAAGTTTGAATTTTTCAATATATCAGTAAAATACAGTAAACATTTTTAACAAGTACTATCAAAAAATACTTTAAATAAAAGTAGCATTTTTAAAACAAATCAAAATAAATATCAATAATAACAAAACATTTTTAGCTTTCAGTTCATAAAATTTATAGAAATAAATAATTTATATTTTATAAAATTAATTTAATAAACTCGTTATAATTTACCTAAAAATNTACAGTAAGTTATATTACAGTAATACAATACAATACAAACAATGGATAAGCCAGAAGTGCGAAAAAACTTTATGCAAAACATTTTTAGCTTTCAGTTCATAAAATTTATAGAAATAAATAATTTATATTTTATAAAATTAATTTAATAAACTCGTTATAATTTACCTAAAAATAAACGTTTATATTTACGATCCTATTTATGTTTGCAAACAGGGCTGGTATGTTATGACTACTTTGTGGCTTCCGTGACGGAATGTGCCCTCGACTACAGTTATCTCGTAAATGCAAAGTTTTATGTAACAAAAACTAAAATTAATATTTTTATTATGCTAATATTTTACATAACTATTATAAATAATTATTTAATAATAATACTTTAGCCGTAATTTCAGTCGTACGGCCACTAATACACAGTTTGCTAATGCATTGCAAAATACCCGCAATAATGGACCCCTGAATGCTATTAGGAATAACCTACCTTACCAAAATACAGGGTTAAATAGTTACCAGAATAATTATCAGAATGGCGGAATCGAGTACCAGAATGATAAGATTTTGGTTGAGGTGGGTTATTTTAATATGATTTTAATTTTATTATCTTATTATTAATTATTATTTTTTATTAATAATAAACAATAATAGACAGTAATTATGATCATATACTTAATTATATTTGTTAAATGAATTAAAATCTTAATTATTTTTTAAATTTAATCATAGTTAACAAATAAATTAGCTATTAATACAAAACTACTCTAATTTTAAAAGCTCATTAAAATAGTTTTAAAAAGTTTTAATAATAGTCAAATCCATGGTGATGGTCAACTTTATTTTAATTACATTTATTTGTTGAATATATAAATTAAATAATGTTTTCATTACAGCTTTTGGGAGACTTTCTATACATCGCGCCGTCCGACTACGTGGCGCCCCTACACTCCCAGGGAGGGGGAAAGGTCTGGCTGTTTGCCTTTGAATACGAGGGCACCCGTAGTTCCGAACCCATACAGAAAAACGCACAGCACATCTCCAAACAAACTTATGGTGTGTCCCATATGGACGACCTATTCTACGCCTGGATCACCGAATACATACGCGACAGCCCGGCCGCCGAGAGATCCCTGTCCAACACATACGCCAAACAATTCTACGTATGCACCCGATCGGGACAAATACCATCCGGGTATATGAGTTTCTACTCGTGGCAACAGTACACCTCCCATAACCCCTCATACCTCCAGTACCAGTGGCGTACCGGACAGTATACACCTGTGTTTAGATATGCAAATACGCCTAACGAGGGCTACCGGACCAGTCAGGCAGACTTTTTCAACCAGTTCATTATGCCGTTGCAGGATAAGACTAAAATATATCCCAGTCCCTTCCCGTACTCCGAGTTTAAGGGATACCGGGCCGCCACGTTGTCTCTCATGGGTTTCGCTATATTATTGCTCATCCTATTGATCGCCATTTTAGCCGTACTTTGTTTCCGACGGCAGAAGAATAATGAGTTAAAACTTTTGCGCAAAAATGATAAGGAATTGGAGGAGAGGTTCAACACTACGTAAA